ATTGATACAGGTGAGTTTAATTGCAACAAATTACCCAAAGCATACAAGCATAACAAAACTTGGAATGCAAATTACAGTTGCTGGAGTGGCCCAGTCAAGTCCTGAAATATGCTGTGAATGACCTTGGGATTCAAGTGGAGAATTTTACAATGAAAATTGAAGGGCAGTGGTAAAATGACTCCAGATCGTTGTGAACGTCATCTAAGTCTACAGGAAATGAGTTATTGCTGAAACAGGGTCAACCTTATGAAGTCCAAATCACATACTACACAAACATTAGATGTGCAATTGCCATGGTTTAATGTGCACATAACATGTAAACATTCACAGTGCAGTGAGGAGCAATTTTATGCCCAATTCAAATGTATGTGAACCTTTGGCAAAACTTAATCCCAAACTGGTTGACCTTTTTCTTGCCTGTTACATGGCAGCAACTGTAACCTCAATCACAATCACACACCTTCCTGTACATATTGCTCCCTATATCACACCTGCATCACGTATCTGGAGTCCATTTTACATATCTCCTCCCTATCACAAGACTCCTACATCATCACGTACTTTGTAGCAACTGTATTCTTACAATTTTGAGAACTTGCCAATAATTTTGTCCAGTCCATTTTTGGGGTTTTGTGTGGAATGTGTCAGATTTGGCTTTTTGTTTCTCCACTTTTTTGTGTCATACCAATACAAACAAAAGAAATAAACATGAGAGAATGCAGAAACATTTGTAATTCCAACAATATTCTGGGCGAAGTGATGCATTATCTGATAGAAAATTTTTTTGGCCACGACTCTACGTGGGGCTCATTTTCAGACCTCCTATATGACAAAAAGAACTTTTCAGTGTGTCACGTATCTTAATTTTAACACTTACCTGATTCCTGCATGCTACGACTCCAATAGCAGCAGCAATAATCACTTTACTGCAATAGCAACACAGATGCCAATAATTACGGTTATATTGTCCTTAGGCTTTGCACTAGAATCTGAGGGGGAAAACAGAAGAGAATCATGACACATCAGTATTGCTGAGTACCTTGCATACCAGAGGTGTAACTAGAGCTTTTAGGGCCCCAGTGCAAAAACCATGAAGGGCCCCCCTTGACCACAGGACCCTTTACATCTGTCATGGGGACTTTCCCCTGGTCCTGGGGCCCTTCTCTCTGAGCCCTGGGCCCTTCCCAAAGGGAATCCTTCCCCAATCCCCTCCAACACAAGGACGCAGCAGAATCAGACACACAAATCAATTGATGTCCCATGAATCTGGGCTGTGTTCTGGAGCCCAGTGTAAAAAAGAGTTCTGGAACTTGGTTCCAGTTGCTTGACTGACAGGGGTACACCAGAGTGGGCACCCAGGGCAATTGCCCTAAATCCTTTATGTGGTGCCAGATGCCACCATTGCTCCCTTTGAATTGGGGGGGAGAGGAGGATATGTGTGGGGGGGGGTGCATTGAGAAGGGAGGTGACTTGCTAGAAGGTGAGGTGGGGGTTTTTTGAATCCGACCGCCCCAGCACAAGTCTTCTCTACTCCAAAGATCAGAGCCGTGGAGGAGGGGGCAGCTTCTGCAAGCTCTGCTGTTATGTGTTCAGGCATTAAGCAGAGAGAGATGGCGGCTGCCACATAGGGGGTGATCGCCATGTGTTGGACCTTGGGCACCCTGCAATAGATGGTAGCCTATGGTAGCACACCCCTGTCAGGCTAGTTACCAGAGCTCAGTGCTGGAACTTGTTCCTGCACTGGGCTCCGGGATTCCACACTGATGTCTATGCTGGCTCTGGCTCAGTTGCAAGTGCGACCATTGCAACCCTGGTAGTTCTGGCACTGTTGCATACAGAGTCCCAGCATCAGCTCCATTACGTAGAAGAACATGTCCCTTCTTAGCTTTTCTGTTCACAATTGTTAATATTTTGCCTTCACTTCCACTTTAACATTGTGAGCTGACATGCTTTTGAAAAAGTATAACTTTATATCAGGACAGCAGCTTATAGAATCATCCAGATTGTAGATTGGTAGGATATTTCTATAGCAGAAATTTTACAATTTCACAATGAATTGGCCAGAATGTAACATTTAGATACTCTGTTGGATTAATTGGTTGAAAGTAGATCCACATACCCAATCAAAGAAGGATATTTATTAAGATTACATTAGAGAGACAATCAGAGAAAATTACAGTATGGAGAATTAAGTCAGTTTCATTGTTAAATATAGTAGGCATAAAAGAGGAAGTAGTGAATCCAGGCATCCTGTTCTGGTTTCATGTATTATGAACACAGAGGAACACTGGGCTATAGGGAAATGTCCAGAATGCTCATAGCAGAACATTTATCATTGGAGAAGAAACTAATGCTTGATGAATGCCTAGGGCATTTTTTGAGCTTTGTAGGCATTTGGTGATCACTTGTAGGCCGTTTACCAAGCATTTGATAAAGCCTTCCAAATGCAGGATATCAATTGAGGTGATGTGAAATGAGTCTTTCTTCTTCCACAAAAGATAAAGTAAATCTAAGAGCAAGATATTTTTTCTTGCTGCTGGTGTCCTACTGGACAGATTTACTTTCACTTCACTTCAACAGAAATTGGGAAGGAGAAATAATCTTAACTTAAACTATTGTCATTAGAATTGTTGTCCCCTTTTAAAAATATCCCTTTTCTCCAGTTCTGGTGACAACTATCTGTGGTTAGATCTCCTCCCTTTCAACACTACGGTTCTTAGTTCCAGTGTCAGCCATGGCACTACCTGCATGGATGAAGAAAAGAAGTAAATGGCTTCCTTCTTTTCTGCATCTAGTTTGAGGGTACGGATGGCTTGGATTTGCCATAAGCACCTAGGACCCGGTTACTACTTGCATGAAGTTTACATGTTCTCCCTGAACTTATGTGAGTCTCCTCTCACTCTCCAAAGACATGTTGGCATGGTCTTGGGGTGCCTAATGTAACTAAGTATTATCAGGCGAGCCAGATTGCCCGGCTGTCTATGTTGCACGCTTCCTCTGACATTCCTCTCTGGGTCCTGCTAGAACTACCTAATTGTGCCCCTATTGTGACATTGACACTTTTATGGCTTCCCCCTGCCCTACGCCCTTTAACACTCAGTTTGATTTTGTTCCATGGCCTACAAGTGTGGGACTTGGTACGCTACTCCAGTGGCCTGATATCTCCTTTCCTACTTTTGCTCCCAATTATTAACAACCCTCTTTTCCCACCAGGTTTAGATCAACCAAGGGCATTTTCTTGGTGGGTGGACAATAGTTTTTCGCAGGTGCACCACTTTTTGACTTCTCGGTCCTTCCCCACCTGGAATTCTCTTCGGGGGTCACGGGATGTTCCTCCAGCGGAAATTTTTCATTATCTTCAATTGCGGCATTAGCTGACCTCACTGCGGGGCACTTCCGCTTTCCCATATCGGAAATCTGCCTTTGAACAGCTTTTGCCAACAGCGTCCGGGCGCCCCGGGCCTTATTTCCCTTCTTTATGCAGCTTTGAACAGACACTCAATGCATACTTCTCTCTCATATGTCGCTCAATGGGAGCGCGACCTGGGGGCAGTCATGGATCTGGAGTACTGGAATAGGGCCTGGTTGTTTATAGCTAATGTTCATATAATACAACCACGCTGGAGGCGGCATACAAAGTATTGTTTCGTTGGTATTGGGTTCCAGCTCGTTTGGCCCAGGCAAACCCTGCCTACAGGGATCGATGCTTTTGGGGTTGTGGCCATCGTTGTGATGTATTGCATATCTGGTGGTCATGCCCAAGACTGGTTTTTGGTCTCGTGTGTTTGGCCTTCTTTTCACCTTGCTCCATCTCCCCATACGCCGGGATGCTCTATACGCTTTGATTCATTGTCCCATACCGGGCCTCTTGGCTCACCAGCAGAAGTTGGCTTCCTATTTGTTTTTGTCGGCCACTAGAACAATTGCTCAGGCATGGAAGGGCCCTTTGTCCCTCTTCACGTGGTGCTGTACCGTATGAGCACTATGATGCTTAACCCCTTCAAGCCGGCCGCACGCAAGTGTGCGGCCTCCCGGCGTCTGGGGCCTAGACGCTGAGCAGCCGAACATTTGCGTTCATATAACAAAAAAACATATGTGCTGAGAGCGTGCACCCTGCGCGCTCCCAGCACACATGTGCGGTACTCACGGAAAGATCCCGGTCTGCTCTTTCGATCGGGACCTTTACCGATCATGTGACCGGCCGTGACTTGACGTCACGGCGGCCACATGACGCTAAGACACGCCCCGTCCCAACCACCTCCCGGCACAGGAACTCCTCTTCACGCCGGGACGATCCGGCATGAAGGGGTTAATGAACAGATGTCGAGTATCTGTAACGACTCCCAACGGAAATTTTTGAAAATATGGGAGCAGTGGTTGCCATATGCCCTTCCCATGCTCCCCCCGGCTAGTCTGGGGTTGTGATGTTGCTCGGTATTGGCGTCCGGGACCCCTGCTCTTGGTCTTGTCATCGTTTTCCTTTTGTACTCCTCCTTCCTTTTCTATTTCTGTTTGTTTTTTTGGTGTTGCGGTGGATAGCTGCCTTTGGTTTGTGTTACTGTCGGTATTATACCAATGTTTTTGTCATTTATGTGCCATTGATAGCCCCTGCGTGGGCGCACTTTTTGCTCTGTTGGTGTTAGAGCACTTTTTCTTTATTTTTTATGTGCAATTGACCCCTGTGTGGGCGTGTCTTGTTGCTCCTGTTTTTTTTTTAAATGTTTATAAATTAATAAATATCATTGAAATACAAAGACATGTTGGCAGGTAAATTGTCCCTAGTATACTAGATCAGCATGGAGCATGTGTTTTGCTGATTGGAGAGCTCTAGCTGTGACGTAGCAGGGAGCATGTCTGACCTCTGCAGAGAGACCATTGCTTCCATGTGGAGAGCAGAAGTCTCTCTCTGCAGAATGATGGCAGGGGCCAGGCTTTTCTACTATGAATATTTCTGCTTTCTGAAAGAAACGGCCAGTAAGACTTTGCAAACCTTTTGTTTTAATGCATCCATAAATGCAAACAGACATTAAAATGTGTATAAACAGCAGAAGCTCTACTTAAACTCACCCCTTGTAACAGTGAGAACATCCTCCAGACTGCTGTGGTCCACATGACAGAAGTAAGTGTCTCCCTCCTTGGTTGGCACTTCCACACTGACTCTGATCTGATAGGTGCCATCAGGATGGGGGAGAATTGGAGTCATTTCATCTGAAGGAACATGGTCCTCCCCATTCCTCATCCACTTCACATCCACAGGTCGGGGGTGAAACCCGTACACCAGGCAATGAAGTCTGGTCACATCATCCGACTGACGACGGCCCCACACCTTCACCTCTGGACGCACTGACAAGGAAAAGAAAACTATTTGTATGGTCTGCTAGCAGAAGCAATACTTGTCTCTCCCTTGAGGTAAATTAGAACATGATATCTATGTATTTATGAGGATCATTTTAGGTGTCTTCAGGTCACAGAGGAGTTTTCAGGGCAGCTTGGACCAGCATCAACCGTGTGTGGGCACAACAGTCTACTAGCTGTGCATTGACATTTTTCTCTCATAGTCTAAGGGTATTCAGTTTAGCTTGTTTCCCTTGGTTGGGACATCATTCAGTCATTTACAGGAGATCTTTAATTATTTTTTACTGGTGATTCACAGAAATTCCCAGATTGTATGTACCCAGGTCATCTTGAACAGCAGCATTTGTTTCTAGTTACAACAGTAGGCCTGGGAGACAACACTGTTCTTGGTCTCAGCACACAGTTCAATCACTGCATTCATTTCATAGATTCTCTAAAGACAGCCTCCCTGATCTTCTACAATTGAGGTCTCTATATACTGGGCATGAAGATTAATGTAGACCCCCTATATTACAGGGAGGGCTTCTAGGTCTGTAACCAAGCCCTTCTTGTAAGTTGAAACCTACCTCTAGTTCACTTACTATATACACAATAGGAGGCATTTATGAATGCAGTTGTAATCTATTTCTAAATGCCACACCATATAATTGCGTGCAATTCATTTTCATATTATACCCAATCAATAGTGTCATGCCATTTCTTGATTTGAAATGTCTGCCTATCTTTGCACATTTCTGCAAGTACTATGAAATAGATTACACCAGATCTAGCATTCCAATCTAGAATGGATAAGTTCACCTTCTGGAGCATGTTACACATTACACCCATATTTAGGGTGTAATGTGTAACATGCTCTAGACCTGATACCCCCAATCCCCCCTCTCTATGACAGTGGGTAGGGGATCCACTCCTTGCACCCACTGTTACAACTTGAAAACAGAGTTGCTGCCCCTACAGCCACATCATTCATTCACAGCAATCTGTGAATGAAAAAACTACAAGTCCCATCCGCCACTGCAGCAGACAGATTTGTAGTTTGAATATGCCATGAGTTTACTGGTTAGCATGCTCATAGTCCATTCACATTTCCTTGCTAGTTGACAGCCTGTACAGTGGTATGGACTGAAAGCTGAGAGAGAGTGTAAGAACCTGAAACTGCACCCGCAATCTACTGATCATGGATGCAATACTTTGTAGGCTCCTGTTAAAAAAAAATGTATCTGCTAAAATATTTGCATTTGTTATTTTTTAGTAAAAGGTGAACTTAGCATTTAAGAAGTGATGTGATTGGGCATTTAACAGATACAATGAAAACAGAATTTTTTCATGCTTCATACAATATAAGAGTCACAGTATGTATGTATGTGATATATATATAGCCACCTCTTTTCGCAAGATCTTCTCTCCCATATGCAAAGAATTTTTCCAGCCGCTCTATACAGGTATCCATGAGAAAAGCCTTCCATTTCTCTGTCCCTCTTCTGTCTTGGCGGTTCCATGCCTCTGTGTAGAACGGAGCTTCATACATGGCTGGGATCCAGTTCCACCTATATGTGTCCAGATACATGAAATCTCTCCCATTGTATCCATGCCTATTATACAATGCAGTGATGCCATCATCTCTCTGTTCACAACCATACATTTCCTGGTAGATATGTAGACCTGCATACAACATAGACAGATGTCACATGGAAGCAGATTGTGTGTTATCACATGCATAATATGTTACAGATGTAGAAAAAAAGGAAAAATAATTGTGTTCCTTTCTCTCTTTTTTTCTCTAGACAGCACAAACTTTTAGTCCATGTCTCGTTCTAGCCACATGTGCCAACTGTACTCTGGGCTCCATCAACTTCCTTCATCCGGTAGGTTCAAACAACTGTAGAATTGCACTCTGCTGACTATTGCATTAGTATAACTGTGATGCCCAAACAACAAACAGAAACACTCCAACCACATCCTCAACTGATGCTTTTTTTGTGCGTTTCTAGTGCTTATTCATAGAGCGCTACAAATATTGGTCAATTAGTGAGGGGGCGCACTGGATACCTCCACTGCCATTGTGCTATTGCTATCCCTATAGCTCCCAGACATACACCACCCAATCTATCTTTTTTTTATATATGTTCTCCAATTCAGGAGACTCTCATATCTATAGGGCTAGGACTGCAGTACACTGGGATGCCGTGATGTGGCCCTGCACCTTACGCACGTATTTGCACATGCGAACAAACCCTTGACTGTGTTTTTAATGTGAACTCTTAGAAAGGGTCAATTTGGTTTGTTGCAGGCTGACTGGTAAGTGAGCTGGGAATTTTTGTTTGTTCTTTTTTCACATGCATCACCCTTCCATGTGCTCCTTGCAGCACAGGCCAGTTAGGCTACATTCACACTAGATTTGTTAGCAGGCGTCAGACAAGCATCTGTGAAGCGTTTTTAATGGTTCTCAAACGCCTATGAAAATTCTGCACATTGCAGCACACAGTGCTGTTCACACTGAAGCGTTAGTGTCGTGTTGCGGGAAAATTGACGCCTCATGTTGAGTCAAGAGGAGTTGAAGCCTCCCATTAAAGTCTATGGTGACGCTCCTCAAATGCCTGGCAGGTGTTTGCGGGGTGTTTGCGAAGCGGTTGCTTGAAATCTGCCAGTGACTAGTGTCTTAAAGGGGCTTCTCATAATTCAACTACTGTTTCCAGGGGGAGAATATTGTTCTTCATCACAGTGTTCTTCAGGGAGCTATTATTCACTTTTCCCCTCATTGTGCACCAACTGGGCCCCATCAAGCGAGCAGAAGACTCACCACTGCACTTAAAGGAACATTGGTTACTTCAGGGGTAAAGAGCCCTTTCATCTCAGGCTACATACCTGCAATCAAGCCCTGAGGACCCGAAGTGAGCTAGTTTACCCGTTGATAGTTTTGTTGCTCACTGGGGACTGTAAAGCCACATTACATCATAGGGAACCTGAGGGTCAATGATGACCTTCCTTTATTTATTATATATTAACCCAGAAAATTCTACAAAAATGGATCATGGTCCTCCAGCACTGGTATAACACATTTCCCTGGAGATTACTTTTGTGTAATGATGAGCCAAGGTTCAGGCCTAATTTCCAGAAAGCTGTCACATGATAGCAGGTCGCTGGTCCAATCTGCTGTGGCTGTAAATTTTCCCACCCCCACAAAACAGAGTAGCAAGGATACCGGCTTATGTCATTATCCAGATATGGTCACATAACTATATTTGGACAATGGAATTTACCAAATATGATCATGTGGCCAAATCAGGTCAATTATGTCACCTGCATCCCTACCCCCTTGTTATGTAGTGTGAATAAAAGCTTCCCATAGATTTAGGACTAACAGGGCTTGGCCTGAACCTTAGCCCATCACTTCTTTTTAAGTAATCTCTGCAGTTTATTCTGTTTTATAGAGACAAAGCTATGCCCACAATGCTGTGCCTTTATACAATGTTTCTGTATGTTAAAGTAGAACTAAAGCCAAAAATGTTTTTTTCATTTTGGATAGCGTATGAGAGGATTATCACCCCTGTCAATTTGTTCTGCCATCTGTGTCCCATTGTGAAGATTTCCCTTCACTTCCTGTCCCATAGCTGACCAAAACAGAAAGTGAGAGGGAATCCCTCCAAAGAAAGGGAATGCATGGTTGCCACCAGAACTAGTGGCCCCATTGGAAGATTTCCCCTGTTACTGCTGTGGACACAACCCAAAATGTAGGCTTTTCTTTTACTTAGACTTTTAGTGACAACAATGAACAGGAGAAATAGACAGGATGAATCTCCATAAACAGGGTTCAGACAGCGATAGAAACCTGACAGATGTTCTATTGCATCTCCAACCAAAAAGCTTCCCTTTAGTTATACTTTAAATAGGAACTCCAGGTATGGATAATTTATACATAGTTATATTGGTTCACCTTGAACCAATATAACTACAGTATGTATATACCAGGGACGGACTGACCATTTGGAAACTCGGGCACTGCCCGAGGGCCGGGGTCAGTAGGGGGCCCCATGAGATGCCCCTGGGGCTTTTTTGAGTTTGGGCAAGGGGGTCCCATGATCCCCTATTGCCGGGGGATGGCCCCATGGATGCCCCTGGTACCTTTTTCATAGGCTTTTTTGAGTTTGGGCAAGGACACAGGGGCCCTATGATCCCCTATTGCCCGGGGGCCCCATGAGTTGTCAGTCCGCCCCTGGTATATACCATACCTGGCCAATGCCCCCTGAAGCTGAAAATCACTTAAGTAAAGACCTCTACTTCAGTGATCTCTACTTGCCTCTGGCTTTTGTGCTGAACAGCTAGCCTGATGCATTCTGAACACAGGGGGTTGGCTGCTTGACTTGACCAAGTGAGACATTACTGTCCTGCCTCTCCACCTAATCCAATTAAAGAGAACTTTTTATCTATTCAGAAAATGCAAAGTATTCTCTAAATGGTGCATTTTCTGATTGGCCAACCTCCTGTATTCAAAATGCAGTAGGCCAGCTGCTCAGCACAGGACCCAGAAGCAAGTGAAGAACACCGGAGTAGAGGTGTTCCAGCTTCCAGGGATATGGCCAAGTATTGTATATGTAGCACTACCCCCTTAGGAGTTACTGAAGATTTGGCTCACCCTATAGTCCTGCACAGCCAGACATCACACACCTCCCTCGCTCAGACTTGCACCAGGAGACAGAAATCAATCCTTGAGCTTTGTTTTGAAGTTTTCTTAGGGGTTTAGAACTTGGATGGGGTAAGGGGTGTATGGGATGCCCAAGGAAATGGCAACTGGCAAAAACTTCCTAAAATTATATTACAAGTCTTATGCACAAAAACATCCTCCAGTTGTATGGAGTAATCCCTGAACAGTGGATCCAGCAGTAACTACTAGAAGGACAATTGTCCCTGCTGTAGAGTGAGTTAGGTTTCCCACCCAAATGCTTTCTCCCCTTTTTTGGCCCAGGGGGTGTAGGTGTACTCACTGAGTCCTTCTACTGTGCTGCTGTTGGGTCAGTGGCTGCTACCAGGCCTTAAAGCTGAGCCGTTCCTTCCCTGCTGCCAGGTGGTCCTCTCTCAGGGGGCCAGTAAAGTCCACAGCTTTCCTCCTTCCAGGCATCACTCCTTGAGGTGAGCCCCTTCAAGACTGGGTTCCCTCCCAGGCTCCTGCACCTCAACCTCACCCCACCTCTCCTTCTCTCCTCTCCTCCTTCTCTCCTCCTGCTTAGCAGGCTCCCTTATCCTTAAGGGCTGTCCTGGCCCCTTGCCAAGCCTCCTGTTGAGTATTGGTCAGGATCCCTCAAGAGTACAAGCCAGACACTCCTCAGATCACCCACTGCCTCTAGATCTTCCTTCAAAGCTCTAAAGAAGGAAAATTCCAGAGGGGCTGGCCTGCAGAGCCTCTCAGCTCTGACCAAAATTTCACCTCCTGACTATCACACCCAGGCTGCTACTGAGCCCTCCTCTCTGACAATCAGGATTCTAGCTCCCCCTAGCTAACTAGGAGGGCACTACATATATACATACAGTAGCTACCTGGTCCAGTATAATTATGTTCAAATTAACAATACCTGGAATTCATCTTTATTGTATAAACATTAAGGTGTGAAGATTGTCTCACCTCCAGTCCTGTTAAATTGTTCAGTTACTGACTGCAAATGGTCTTTGGAAGACTGCTCAGTGCTCCTATGGTGTTTTGTTTCTCTCTCCCAGTATTCAGTTTCCACTTTCTTCATCCACTCCACTTTGGGAAGATACTGACGAGTGTCGCTGTTATAACTCTCTATTTCCCGATCATCCATATATCCGACTGTAAAGAGTACAGGCAGCCCAGGTCCTGGAGAGGAGACTGCTGTTCTATAGTATTGGAGAGAGTGTCCGCCTGGGAGAGAGATATATGGGCATATTCAAAAGAAAAATGTAATTCTTGGGTGTAGTAACACATGCAATCAATCAGAATCAATCAAGAATATTGTTTACACAATAACAATGTATTTTTGGGCATACTGCATCACAACACCCCCAATTTTTTTTTTTAGTGCAGTGCTCTGCTCATTGTGTATATTGTGCACTGTAACACAGCTGCTTTCTAATGGCATAGCATCATACTAATAAGTGCATGCTGTGCTACGCAGTGAGATAATGCACGTGGTGTACAGCGTGTCACTGCAAAGCAGTAGTGTGAATTGCCTCTAACTCAAAGATTACATTCACTTAAAATGAATTATTCTTAGGTTAGCTTCACACCATGCATGCAATTCCATTTATTCTGAATGGTGACAACTAGAGCAGTGATGGCGAACCTATTGCACGCGTGCCAGAGCTGGCACGCAGAGCCATCTCAGTGGGCACGCCAGGAAGAAGAGGAAGATGAGCGCACACGGACCACGCACACTGACCGGCCATCCAGATCTC